GAAACAAGGGCTGGCAACTCCCATTTGCCTCATGATACAGAGCAACCCCACTCACCTGAAAAGAAGCAGGACAGCAGCCTGGGACGGAACAGTGCTAATTTTTGAAATGACCACAGAATTATATTACCTCCCCCGCTTTCTATATGCAGTTAGAGATCACATCTCCCAGAAAACAATGAGTAGGAGAAGAAAAGGGTCTGACAGTGGGGCACACTGTATCCTGGGAAATGCCCCTGAAGTAAAACCCTGAAGGTATGGAGGTAGGAAGAGTCTGGTAGCTGTGCATGCTGGGGTTCTTCTAGCATTTCCAAGAACCAGGTAGTCAAAAAGGAGGAAAATGTCAAGTATGTCAATCAGATTCACTGGAGTGTAGAACACTCAATGCCTAAGGCCACTGGGAACTGAAGAAGCCGTGCACATCAACCTGACCTCAAACGACAGGTTTGAGAAGAAATTAAGCAGGGAACCGTGATCAGAGGTCAAGAGATGGCCATGTACTCTGTGTGGACAGATCCGTCATTGCTTATACTCAGAGGAAGAATATATAGCTGCTAATGATTTATAATGAAAATGAAGATTTTAGCAGAGGTCTCTTCAGAAAGATTCAAGAGAAGCACAGGTTCTATGAACAGAAATGTAGAAAGCCAAAAGTAGAGATAAGGGACAGTGGGATGAGCTAAAAAGGAAAAGATGAGATGCAAAAGCCCAGTTGATTATGGCTAATAGGTATCGACCTCAAGTAGATCTGCACTTAAATTCTGGCTCTTCCCTTTGTCAGTCCATTCGGGCTGCTCTAACAAAATACCACTGACTGGGTGGCTTATAAACAACAGAAATTTATTTCTCAGTTCTGGAAGCTGGGAAGACCAAGATTGAGCACCCACGTGGTCACCTTCTGATGAGGGCCCACTTGGTGGTGCACAGCCGGTGTCCTCTTGCTGTGTCCTCAAATGGAGGAAGACGCTAGGGATCTCTGGAGTGACTTACAAAAGCACGGATCCCATTAACGAGGACTCTACCTCGTAACCTAATCACCTCCCAAAGCCCCACCTTCTAACCACCACGTGCGTAATGTGGATGAACACATTCAGACCATAAGAGTAGCCTTGGGCAAATCACTTAACTTCTTTAAAGTTCTGGTTTCTTCACTTATAAAAAGGGGATAAAGAAACCTATTTCACAAGGTCGCTTTGTGCTTTAATGTTAACAACATGACCAATAATGAGAAAGTATAGGGAAGGCTCTAGAACAGGGCCTGGGTATGCAGTAAATACTTAACAAGCAGTAGTCATTATTATTATTATTATTACTAACAAGCGTGGAAGAAAAGGGAACTGATTGAGGCAAAGGAAGGATTGCAAGAAAGTAAAAATACAATCAATAATAATCAACACCGGAGATCCTAAAGAACATAAGCCAAGTTGCAAAAATGTCTAACTGATAACGCAGAGGAGATCCAGAAGACTGGGAAAAAGGACAGAGAACTGAAAATAATGAGAGAGAAGCTGAATCAGCGATTCAACCTATTAATTAAAGCTATTTTTGAGAACTAAATCGAGCAGAACTAAAGCAATAAGCTAAAATATGTACAAGGAAAACTTCCAGAGTAAAAAATAATCTCAGCAGGCAGATCAAAGGGCTCATACAGAGGAGTCAGAATTAATTGTCAAATATTTTAAAGACCTACACTTAGATATAACTCAGCAAAAAATTTAAACTATGGAGATAATTAAAAAAGAAAAATCCTCCAAAAAAGGTCCCAGGGACCAGCTCAACGAGAAAGATCTTTCAAACAACCTGTAAACTGTTCCAGAGCATAGAGAAAGGAAGGAGAAGCCATCCCAACCATTTTATGAAGTGAGGATAACCAAAATGACAGAGCTGACAGGGAGAAAAGGAGCCACCAACCCCACTTTCACTTCTGGGGCGAGACAAAAGTCCTAAATAAAACCCTAGCAAACGGAATCCAGTAGTATAAAATATATACACACACATGATCAAATGGGATTTAGCCCAACAAAGGAAAGATGGTCCCAGATTAATGTACCTATTAATATATCATAGTGTTAGACTGTAAGGCAGCCTTATTGTAAGGTAATCCCCATTACCTCAATGCGAAGCTTCAAAAATTATTTTTGACAGCTTGAATAAATAATACATTATGGATGTTTATGAAACAGTCAACTATTTAAAATACGGTTATATAAACACATTTGAACTCATATAATAAAAGATCTTAAAATATTGCTTCCTTCCAACTCTCACATATCATGAAAACCTATTATTGCACCTCTTCCCATGCATCCTTGACAGCAATAACCATTGTCACAGGAGGCACTCTGAGATATTTAACAGTTTTCCAGAGGTACCATGTTCATTCCTGCCTGAGCACTTTGCAGTCTACATAGGATACATTTTCCTTTCAGGAAATCATTTATCCTTAAATTGCAAAATTGTGATCTCTACAACAAAGGCCTGCTTTATAAACTAACAACTTTCAATTCTTGCAACTGTGAGGTCATTTCCCAGGAATAATTACTAAATCAGTATTAAATGTCTTGGCCTCCTTTTTTATTGATTCTTTCTAGTGACCTCTATAAGCATTCAATTCCAGACCTGATTAAAGTGCTTTACCAGGCTGTTCAAAATAAAGTAAATTGAGAAGACTCTCAGAATCAGAGAGATCTTGAAAGGACTCAAGCGTAAGATGGCGTAAGATGTCTCTGTTTCTTCGGAAGAGGGGAACTTTGCGGGGTTGGAGGGGGACACGTTATCTTACATTCAACCCGTTTCACAGCAGGGCATGCTTAGAAAATTGGAGTGTTTGTATCACAGTGAAGCAACTAAACAATGCTGCTCGGGGTGAATGCCTCTCCTGGCTATGCCCAGGCTCCTCAACAGAGCAATATGGCGGCAAACTCTGCTAAATCATAAGGTCCAATAAGAACATCCAGGTCATCCTTGGCATCATCTCAGAAGATGGCATTGGAACCAGAAAGGCTGCTGCCTGACTCTGCCTGGCTGTGTGGACTTGGACAAGTTACTTAGCCTCTTTGCGCCACAGTTCTCATATCTGCACGATGGGATAATAGTAGTCCACAGATATTATTGTGAGAATTAACTGAGCTAAGTCATGTAAAGCACTTTGAACTCTATCCTACACACAGTAAGTATTCAATGAATGCTAAATTCAATAACAATGCCTAATTAAAAGCAAAACAAAACTACTCCTTTTTTTAAGGTGTTATTTATTTATTTGAGAGAGAGAGAGCGCAAGCCACAGAGAGCACAAGCAGGGGGAGCAGCAGAGGGAGAAGCAGACTTCCCCCCTGAACAGGGAGCCCAACGCCAGACTCGATCCCAGGACACTAGGATCATGACCTGAGCTGAAAGCAGACGCTTAACCAGCCACCAGGCACCCCAAAACAAAACTACTCTTAAAAAACACAAACTATGAGTAGAATACCCAGATTAAGTCCTCAAAACGTCACCATACACTCCTCACGTTGTCACTTTACAGTAAAATTCACCGAAGACAAGTCCTGTCCTCACCCTTGGAGTTTCCAATCCAATTTTTAAGTTTTAGTCAATGATCACCAGGGATTTGAGAAAGCTTTTTCATGAAAGGCCAAAAAAGATACAAATGACCTTAGAAGGAAAAGAGGCAATGTTGGGAGTATAAGCGAGCTTAAAAGTATATGTATGCGCTCACATATATACACACATACAAGTACACATATGTGTACACACATATTTACATACACACTCACACCCACATACACTTAAGAGCTAAGAGCGCAGGCTTTGGAGAATGAATAATTAAAAAATACGGTAGTTAAAATGAATTTAATAGAAAAGATTACAAAACAATGATAAAGAAATTTACCAAATAGTAGAAGAAAAATAAACAGGAGAGGAAAAAAACTAAGGAAATTAGAGGATAATCCACTATCCAAATAACAGAAGTTCTGTAAAGAGAGAATAGGAGAAAGGTAGGATGGAGGGCCAAACAATTCTGAAATGAATAATGTAAGAAAGCTTCCCATTAAAAAAAGCATCCTCATTTTTAGATACAAAGTGCTCTCAGAGGGCGCCTGGGTGGCTCAGTTGGTTAAGCGACTGCCTTCGGCTCAGGTCATGATCCTGGAGTCCCAGGATCAAGTCCCACATCGGGATCCCTGCTCAGCGGGGAGTCTGCTTCTCCCTCTGACCCTCTTCCCTCTCGCGCTTTCTATCTCGCATTCTCTCTCTCTCAAATAAATAAATAAAATCTTTAAAAAAAAAAAGTGCTCTCAGAGTACGCAGCACAATGAGTAAACCAAGATCTACACCCACAGCCCATCGCAGGGACGTTTTAGCCAACTATGTCTAATCAGACGGAAGAAAAATTATGTGTATAACAGATGAGGAATCAGAAGGACACTGCCATAATGAAAACTATTTTCAAAAACTTTCTTTCCTCCTTCTTTTCTGTTTTTTCTCTAATCGATGTGTACGAATTTTATTGTCAGAAAACAATCTTAATACAAAAATTCTATGCTTAGCCACTCTAGCCTAGATTTAAATGTCACCACTTCTCCTTTGTCTTCTTAATGTCAGATTTCTGTCTCTACACTGATAGGGAACTGCTCTCATCAGCACAAGTCCTATTCACAGAGGACACCTGGGCCGCACAGACAGCGGAGAAAAAGCCACTCTAGGAATTCACTGCCCGCCTGCCCTGCGTATGAGTGATGTCCGCTCATACTCACTTGGGTGGTGTGAGAGCTGGTTTTCAAGCATTCTGCCAGAATATTTTGATATCTGAAGGAAGAGGGGGAAAACCCATAATTCTTTTCCTTAGACACATTTTTCCATCCATTATTATCATGTCTCCACTCGCAGAGTTAACATTTATTTTAATAAGGAACTGCTAAATGCTCCAATTTGTCTTTATTACATGTATTGAATACCACGTCCTAGGCTTTGCCAAGAGATCATTTTCCTATTGACAGACTTACCTGTGGAGAAGATGAACACCGTGTTGTTCCAGAGTCCGTGGCTTTTTAAGGCTGCCGTGACATTTCCCACTGCTTCATCCATAAGAGACACCATTCCTGCATAATAATGCCTATTCTTATCTTGGATGAAGTTATATGGTTTCAGGTATTCCTCAGGGACCTGAAGGGGCTCGTGGACAGACTGAAGAGCAAGGTAGAGAAACAGAGGCTGGAAAGAGAGTTTGTACAAATCAGTTAAGAGGGTATGGAAGCATTAAATACAAAAAGAGAGGTCCAGATTTATCAGTTAATAAAAGTAATATCAAGACAAGCCACAGAATGGCTTGAAAATATTTGTAAATCATTTGTCTGACAAGGGACTTATATCCAGAATATACAAAGAACTCTTCCAACTCAATAACAAAAGACAATTAACCCAATTACAAGATGGGAAAATAATTTGAATAGACATTTCTTCAAAGAAGATATACAAACGGCCAAAAAGCTCATGAAAAGATACTCAAAAGATGCCTAGGGCTATAGGGAGCTGGGGGGGGCGGAGAGGAATGGTGAGTGATTGCTAATAGGCACACGGTTTCTTTAAAACATTAAAAATGTTTTAAATTTAGACTGTGATGATGGTTGCACACCTCTTGGAATTTACTATTGAATTGTATACTTTAATTGGGTGAATTTTATGGCATGTGAACTAGGAGCATCAATAAAGACAGTAAAAATGTAACAAAAGACACAAGATGAAAAATTGAAAAGAAAAGCTTGAGTTCTAAAATGGCCTAGAAGGCTCTGATCCAAACAAATAATAATAATACCAATAATAACAACTATATATTATATGTTGTTCATGTGCTAGATACTATGATATGATTTGCATATTCTGTCTTATATAATACTCAAATTCAGCCTGTTACACCCATTTCACAGATAAGTTAACTGGGGCTTAGAAAGGTTATAGGATTTGTCCACGTTCATATTGCAGAGCAATCTCCTATTGGAAACTCCACCATTATGGTGCAGATATGTACCAATAGATGCTTTAGCTTTTTGCTTTTGCTGAAAAGAAAGTTCCCACACTTTCGGAGAGAGTTCAGGATTTTTCATAGGAGAAAACAAGTGAACACCATGCCTTGCTAGTCTTTGATCGAGGACCAAACAACGCCAATTTAATTCCTGGAAACTAAGGAGTGTGATACGCTGATTCTATTTTACCTTTTACACCAATTTATAGCATTTAACATTAGGGGTATTCCAGGTCAGCCTCTCCTTTTTTAATGAGCCTTTCTGAAAGCACTCTCTTCATTGCGCTCCTACAGAATTCCTTAATGAGTTGAAAACTCTCAAAGAGATAGCAACGGTTCAATCCAAGAATAATAATACAATTCTGTTAAAGTATTTGAGGCATTTAAATCTCATAAAGGAACGGGGAAAAGTTAGAAAGAGGACTGCAGGGGGTGGCTCATATTTCATTCTTCATTATTGTTGATAATTTTTTAAAAATTCTGTATCATACACCTTGCTAGACAGAGTCAGGAATATACACAGAGAGAGCTTAAAAAGATACCCAAAAGATTATTTTTAGTTCAGATCTTTAGAACTTGGAAAATCAAAATGATAAAAATAGCTGTTAAATATCAAAGTCATCACTTGAAAACCTATTTTACGAAGGAGGTTAGGTGATGGAATGATAACTAGAACCTAGGCTTCATTTGTACATCCTGTCCACAGGAAAGCATTCCAAATTGCAACTCCAAAGGTCAGTGCTACAATCTTGGACACTGCTTTAGCTCTACCTCCACTCCCCTTCAACACACACCGTCTCTACTCCAGCCACACATAGAGCAAAACTTCTGAGTTCCCCCAGACCACAGTGCAGGGAACCCCACCCAGCACATGCCCTGCACGGTGCTGAGAAAGGAGCCTGGGCTGAGACGCCTTGGTGGGGGCAGGGGGGCGGGGATGGATGTGCACGGGCATCGGTGGCCCAGCGGTGAGTGTGAGGGTCTGCTGTGGGAGCAGCCATTCCGGTCTTCAGCACTAGATCAAACCAACAACCCCCCGCCACCCCGCCCCCCCAGACCACCACGGTCTGGATGGGGACAGGATTAAATATCAGAAGGCTACCACAATTTGCAGCGCACATAAAGTTTTTTTTTTATTTAGAGAACATTTTAATATATATTTTCATATATATATTTAAAGTTAAGAAAAACAAAACTAATTCAAGCCATACCCTGTGCAAAAAAAGAAAAAAAAAGAGAAAAAAAAAGACAAATTTAAAGTGAAACCTGTCTGCTGTTCTAGTCTCAAGTATCACAGTCAGCTTGTTACTTTTATTTTGGAAGAGAAGATGTAAAAGTTTCTTTCGATCACTCAGAAGGCAAGTGTAGCCACTTACAAAAACAGAATGGCAGGGATAGACTAGGAAAGTCAGAGGTGAAAGGGCAGAGCAGGAAAGGAATTTTCAAAAATAAAATTAACAAGGTGACTGTTCCAGAAGGGGGCTGTGAAAAGGACATGGTGGACGAAAGTCTGTTAGTCAAGTAATGATTCAACTTGCACATAAAGTTTTTTAAATCGGGAAATATCACATAAAACTCTGTGGCTTTTAAAAAAATTTTTCTTGAAGAATCAGAACTCCGACAACTCCATGCCCATACTCCATCGGGTAATAAATGGCTGGAGCATGAAATAGAGGCCTCACTCTCAAGTGCTCTCCAATTTCTAGAGCCTCCCTACTGTTCTACCTGAGGGGCTTCACTTATTTAGGTCAGCAGCCTGGCCCCTGTAAACACCAGAGTTTATGACCCTGGGCTGGCTTCTCTGGGCAGGCGCGGAGGAAGGAGAGAAGGAGCTCACTGCTTCAGGAGAAGATGCGTTCATCCAGGTCATTAGCGGCAACATGGCAAAGCCCACGGTGAAGGAGAGAAAGGAGAAAGACGGCAGGTTATTCCCAACCCGCACGTGATCTCCAGAGGTGATGGCCAGGGAGGGTGGTGTGGGAGAGTTCTCAGACCATCATTAGAGAGTCTTACAGATATTCAGTATGGGGGCTCCTGGGTGCCTCAGTCGTTAAGCGTCTACCTTGGTTCAGGTCATGATCTCAGGGTCCTGGGATCAAGTCCCACATTGGGCTCCTGCTAGCAGAAAGCCTGCTTCTCTCTCTCCCTCTGCTGCTCCCCCTGCTTGTGTGCTCACATACTCTCTCTCTCTCATTCTGTGTATCAAATAAATAAATAAAATCTTTAAAAAAAAAACCCACAAATATTCAGTTTGGAAATCATTCTACTCACTTTCTTAAATACAGAAAAACATTACCTGAAAACCTTTCCCATAATTATTCTGTAGGGGGCTAAAGACATGACCATTACTCTTGAGGGGTCAAAGTTATAAAACTGTAGCCATACCCCCATTTTTCCAGGGGTCAGACTCCTTTAGGTTCAAACAGAAGGAGCACAGCTGAGAAGAGGCAGTGAAAAGCACCTCTGACGGATGAGGACTGTGACTGTCTCAGGCCAGGCAAGGGCCTCGCACTGCCGCCAACCACGTCCTAGAAACCTACAAGTAAAGATAAAGGTGTTCCTCGAACAAAACAAGCCATCTTCCCCCCCCCCCCCATGTCACCAGCAGTAATCGAGGGCCATGCAGTGCATGGGTGGACAGACACACACATCAATACATCTCTGGCTCACCAGAAAGAGGCAGAATGATGTATAGTGCAGCCCTTTTAATAAGGTGAGGCCCAAAGCAACACAACTGAGAGTATTTCCATCCGATATTGTAAAAGGAAAGTTTCAACACTCACAAGGTAAACTTTATCGATGAAACAACTCATTTCCCACAGCGCTAGGTATAAAACATTTCAATACTATTTTTAAATGAAAAAAAAAATTAACAGGGTATTGTTATTTGTACTACCTGGTGGCCTAGGGGAAAGAATAATTAACTAGGGCTCCAAGGTTTTCTAACTATAATCGGGACCCTGCCTGCAACCACCTGCTGTAAGACACCCTCCCCCCCAGCCCCAGGGAACAGACATAGTCAATCTCCCCACACCTACCTACGTGGGGTCAGCTCACTGTTAGCCTAAAGCAAGCAGCCGCCATCCTAGGGACAGACTCAGTATTACCATGCTGTCTACGGACTTGAGTTCCAGCCCAGTCATGCGTTGGCCTTTGGAGACCTGCGGGCGCGTTCTGACCTTACAGATATCATTCAAAACACGGTTGTCCTGAGCTGATTTTGATCTCCATGGACCTCCAGGTTTGTGCGGGACCCTGATCTTTCCCTTGCTCCTTCTTGGGTCCAGGTCCCTGCTGCGACCAAACCAGTTATAGCGGCCGACTTGACAACAACACTAACTATAACCCTTTCAGGTTCCTTACGAATATAAAACGGAATCCTAGATGTGAATCGTGACCAAATGTTTAAGTATTACACAAAACTATGACATTGTCACCTAAACTTATTAGCATACTGATAAGACACTAAGAATTCTTTTCCCTTTCTTTTATGCCATACGACTCCTAAGATAGCTACTCTAAATATCCTCACCATGCTAAGAAACCTGATTCCGGTGAGGAAGAAAGCCTTACTTTCATTTCATTAGCATATTTTCCTAATTTAAAGTATAAATTAAAAAAAATATAGGATGCATTTTTAAATTATTGCTCTATTGTTGACTTTCAAATTAAGACATTTCTTTCCAACCTGTGTCAGGAAAAAGTGTCTACTGCTAGAAATTCACATTTGCTTTAAGAAGCTTCTAGTAGATTAGGTTTATGAGAAAACCTTTGTTTTTATTTTGCCAAGTGTTGGGGGTGGACTATTTTTAACTGAACGATATGTTAGGGACATGTTGCTTTTAAACTGTAGTGTTAGTACTAAGGGAATTATCCTGGAGAAAAAAAGACATTCCTTCCCAACACATGGGCAGTGGCTATTGGCAGTATCTCCCTGAATCCAGCACCAACTGTGTTTCTGTTACAAAACAGCTCCATATGCTCTTTTCCCCCTCAAGTGCTTTCAAATAGGCACATTTTTAAGATGGCTTGTGGCTACTTCGTGTGTATTTCTTTAATGATTTCCATCTTAGACAAGTTGCCTATGTTATAGTCTATATATAGCATCTAAGAAATTAGCACAGAATTAGATTCAACATTGGGATAAAATGATGAAAAGTGCAGCTCCTGGAACTATGTGATGCATCATCTTACTGAGAACTAAAAATGTAAACGTCTGCATTTGCTGTCTTAAACAAACATTCTGGGGCTGTTCCTCGGTACTGATTATTTCATTCATTTATGTCTACGCTTGAAACTTGACCTTGAGGAAGTTAGGAATGCTGGACACTGCTTCACAATATTTCAGACACTGTCAGAAAATGCCCATCCTCTCATCTGGCAATTCCCATAATGCTACCAGTGAGCAGCACTATATTACTAACACAAGTTTGGATGGCTTGCGAGCTCTTGGGGACTCATTTCCCTCAGTTCCGTGCTTTCCGCACCACACCAGATAAGGCAGCCCACCCACAAAGAACTATTTCACCCAGCTGCTTCCTCTTATCTGCTTAATGTTACGGGCACTGTGAGAGACTACTCCATTGCTGCCTAATGGGAACTCATTTTTACTATAGGCATATTATAGTTGTTGCATGATTAAGGTAGTGTTAGACTGTAAGCCTGTAAAAGGCAGTTGGCTTGAGCTTGTCCCCTGTGTTTGAGGGGACTCAACAGTGGCTGCACAATCAGAATCACCGGTGGGAGGGAGGGAGGGGCAGAGGGGTAATTAAATACCAATGACACCCTCCCACCAAGCACCAATAAGTCACAATATTTGTTATTGGTCTTTGTTACAAGCTTTCCAGATGAGTCCAATATACTGTCAAGATTGGAACCATCAAGCTGAATCATACACCAGGGCTAATAACCTCTAGTCTTAGATATGAGCTGTGAACTCGGGATGCCTGTTGAGTGCACTGAGCTCTGGAGTCAAACAGTGTGGGTTTAAATTCTGGTTTGGACTCTCAGTAGCTCTGTGACCTTGAACAAGTTTCTTGTTTGCTTATCTATAAAAGGCTGCCTAACTCAAAGGACAGGACAAGAACCACAATTCCCTTAAGACCTTACCTTGTTCTTTGGGCTTTTAGCACTATCTATAAAACACCAAGCATACAGAAGAAAACTGAGAACCTAAGCCAATTACCTAGCAGTTATCCCAGCTCTCTGAAAATTGGTTCAGATTGACATTTTTTTTTAAGATTTTATTTAATTATTTGAGAGAGAGAGAGCACATGCACACAAGCAGGGGGAGAGGCAGAGGGAGAGGGAGAAGCAGACTCCCCGCTTGAGCAGGGAGCCCGACACGGGGCTCGACCCCAGAACCCTATTAAGGCAGACACTTAACCGACTGAGCCACCCAGATGCCCCAGTTTAGATCTAGATTTAAAACCTGTGTATGTCCACATACGTAAGAGAACTTTCTGATCTTCCAAGCTCCACAGGAAGCATGGCTACTCCAATATGTCAGCTTTGAGAGTGATAAAAAGCCCAAGGTGGGGCAAAACTGAGGACAGATACCAGGGAAGACCCCCAATACTGAATTAGAATAGGCAGAGCCAGGAAGAAACTACGTCAAAAGGGAGTCAGCTGCCAGGTACCACCTCTGAGCAGGTATATAAACCTAAATCCAAGTTGTGATCTGCCCTGAGGCTATTCAGTAATTGTCAAAGAAGCAAAGTGCAGAAAATTGGGAGCACCAGATAATACTGCACATTCTGTAATTTGCTATATCAGGGTCTTACTGAAGGACTAATTTCATCGGTGTGCTAATGTAAGTCATTGAAGCCACGTTTTGGGCCCTGTACCTGACAACACGAACCTGTGACCCAATTTCAAAGGTATATTCAAAGAAGTTAGCTTATGAAGCTAACTCTAGGTTAACAACAACAACAAAAACGTTTAAGGCAATTCACACTTTTCTATTTTTACCTTTAGATAAGTCTTAAGATTTTAGTACATGACATACACAATGGCTTCAATGTAGTAAATGTGAAAAACAGGCTCATCGGTATACCATGTATATGGAGCGAAAGACTTAATACTGTTAAGACATTCATTCTCCCCATGTTGGTCTACAGATGCAATGAAATCCAAATCCAAGCAGGAACTTTTTGCTAGAAATTGACCAGGTGATTCTAAAATTGAGAATGCAAAATATCTAGAATAGCCAAAATAACCTTGGGAGGCCAAATACAAAGAGGACTTGCCCTGAACCCAAGGTTTGTCGATCTCTTAACACAAAGTTTGCCATACTACAGCCTCATCTTGTACACAGGTCTATCATTTTAAAAAAGTCAATGTACTAATTGCTTACAGCACATGCACATAATACACCAAAATAATAAAACTACGTATCTACTAAAACACTTCCGACACAGTATTCCTCAAAGTGTCATCTAGGGACCCTTGGTGTCAGAATCACCCTTGAGGAGTTTCTTTAAAATGCTGATGTATGGGAGCGCCCGGGTGGCTCAGTCGGTAAAGCATCTGACTCTTGATCTCAGCTCATGTCTTGATCTCAGGGTCGTGAATTCAAGCCCCACGTTAAAAATAAATGAAAATGAAAATTAATTAATAAATAAAATAAAATGCTGATATATGGATTTCTCCCAGACCTAAGGAATCAGACTTTTAAAGAGGGGCTCCAGGAATTTCTATTTTTATCAACTTCCCCAGGCAGATACCGATACACTCCAAAATTTAAAAACAACTCCCCTAGAATTTATTAGATTTTTTTCCCCAAACAAGCAGCTTTTTCCTATACTCACCTGAAGAGATGCTATCTTAACACAACTTTGATATCAATAAAAAAGCAAGACTTACCTTCTCTGGTGGATGGTTAGTTATGAGGGCTGTAGCTCTTTCGGTAAATATGTTTGTTGAATATATATTTTTATATCCTGTTGCAACTTCTTCACCATCTCGAAAATCAAGAGCACATCGTGTGACATTTAGAGCATCAATTAATGTACAGCGCTCATGGGAATAGTAATCTTCACTACCTAGGAGATATCCTACAACAAGAATCGGAGATGGAAAGGAGTCAGCATAGCATAAAACTTGCTAAACAAACTAATGTTTCAGCATTTAATTGCCTAGTGCAATTGATTACCCATGACAAGGCTAATCAAATGACAAGGCTAATCAGAGCACCACTTCTTAACATCTCTATATTTGCTAGCAGGAGGCATTAAAATGTTATCGTAAAAAAATTCAAAACCATTCCTCCTCAGTCAAGTCTTCAGAACACAAGGCTCTGTCATGGAACTCTCAAAGTGGATGATTCCAAGTAAGAACACAAGGCTCTGTCATGGAACTCTCAAAGTGGATGATTCCAAGTAAATCCATTTTTAAAAATCAGAGTTTAAATTCAGGAAAGATGATAAAATCTTAATCTTTGAAAGCTATCTAATGGCAAAAACAGCATAGGGTTAATGTGATTTCTTACGAGTTTTTACTCTGAGGTAATCACATAAATGAACACAGGATTCAAATAATGTTGATATTGACCTTTGGAGACTGGCTTCAAGGTTATTTATAGAAGCAGCTCTAGGAGGAATCATCTTTAGTCAGATGCTGACACCCACTGGCGGAAGACACAACCCTTTCCAAACAGGAGCTCTAGACAATTTAACAGAACCAAAAGATCAAACTAACGTGGGCAATCAAAGTAGATTTTTCTACCAACCACAATCTCAGTTTTGCCCCCAATGTAAATGGCATCAACTGCCTATCCCCCAATTTGAATGTAAACATGAAAGGAAATGGGTTTTCTCAACTAAAGCTGTTTCTGCAAATGTTCCATATTTTCCTAAAATATTAAAATAAGCTGTGCTGCATATTGTATGATTCCATTTATACGAAATGACCAGAACAGGCAAATCTATAGAGACAAAAAGTTATATTAGTGGTTGCCTAGAGCTGGTGGGGTTGGAAGAAAATGGGGAGTGACCGATGATAAAGAAGGGGTTTCTTTCTGGGGTGATGAAAATATTCTATAATTGGATTGTAATGACAGTAGCACAACCCTGTGAATTTATTAAAAATCAATAAATTGTACACTTTAGTGGATGGATTATATGGCGTGTGAATTATACCTCAATAGAGCTATTAAAAAGAAAGAAGCTGTGCTGGACTCTGAGTCATCTGCTAACAAATAATGCTTATTAACCTTAAAATGAGGTGGATAAAATTAGCCAAGCCCTTTCTTCAGTCCTAAGCGTTCTCTATTATCACAGTCAAAAGCTTTACACAGTTTACATGAAAAATGAATTCATTTCTAATTAATTTCCTCATTTTTCATGATTCAATAAATTCAAAGTCCATACAATGAATACCTTGGTCTTACGACCACTTTTTTTTAATTTAATTAATTTATTTGAAACAGAGAGAGAGAAAGAGCATGAGCAAGGGGAGGGGCAAAGGGAGAGGGAAAGAGAGAATCTCAAGCAGACTCTGCACTGACTGTGGAGCTGGATGCGGGGCTTGATCTCAGGACCCCAAGATCATGACGTGAGCTGAAATTAAGAGTCAGAGGCTTAACTGACTGAGCCACCCAGGTGCCCCAGACCACTTTTTACACGGCAATCTTTTCCCCTAATGTATATAACAGAAAGGGAAATCAAATGTGTTTGTTTTTTGTTTTGGTTTTTTTTTTAAGATTTTTATTTATTGAGAGAGAGAGAGAGAATGATAGAGAGAGAGCATGAGAGGGAGGAGGGTCAGAGGGAGACGCAGACTCCCTGCTGAGCAGGGAGCCCGATGTGGGACTCGATCCCGGGACTCCAGGATCATGACCTGAGCCGAAGGCAGTCGCTTAACCAACTGAGCCACCCAGGCGCCCCTCAAATGTGTTTGTTAATTAATATATAAGAGAGAAAGAAATGTATCCATAAAAGCGACCTTAGCCCTTATATGGATGATTAGAGAGGTCAGGACACTGGGGTTATATTTGGAATTTTTAATAACTCCTGGGTGTTAAGAGCTTGAGGAAATCACTTCAGGTTATTTCTCTGTAAATGTAAACTATTGTCTATTACTTGAGAGAATATAAGCATAGGATATACTTGATTAAAAGATGTATGGGGGCACCTGGGTGGCTCAGTCAATTAAGCGTCCGCCTTCGGCTCAAGTCGTGATCTCACGGTCCTGGGATTGAGCTCCACATCGGGCTCCCTGCTCAGGGGGCAGCCTGCTTCTCCCTCGCCCTCTGTCCCTCCCCTTGCTTGTGTATTCTCTCTCTCTCTCTCAAATAAATAGAAGCTTTAAAAAAAAAGATGTAAGAACGGTAGGGGTGCCTAGGTGGCTCACTTAAAAAAAAAAGTATGAACTATAAATACTAAAAGGATATTACAAATAGGAGAACTCCAGGAATAGAACTATTTATTTACATACTTGGCCAGACTGATACCAAACAACCATGTGGCAATCACATGCAGCTTTTCTCACAACAGTGATTCACAAATTTGCACTTACGTGCTGAGCCTAAAGAAGATGGCATCCTATGCTTTCTTGGGGAAAAATCATAAAATACTTTCTGAACAACTAAATCTCTGACTTTTTAAGTTTTATTGAGCTGTAAGTCACATCCCATACAAGTCACCTACTTAAAGTGTAGAATTCAATGGTCTTTAAGGTATTCAGAGTTGTACAACCAGCCCCACAATCATCTGGCTGCTTTTGAACAGAACATCTAAGTCATAACAGTGATAACAGCTGCAAGGTCATTATCCCCTCCTATCTACAAGTTCAGACGAATGTGTGGTGTTTGTTCCTCTGAATCTTCAGGCATCTCAATTCTCATAAAAGGATATGATTTTCTTCCATCCGAGTGAATTTTTAAATATGTGACTTGGGTTTTAGTAAAAAAATTAAGATACCTATAGTCCTTCCTCTTGCTGGAGCATAGGTATGGATCCATCTTTCAGCAAAGGTCTGACTGAAAATTGTCAAAGGATATACAGACTGTTTTTTCCTCTAGAATTTCCAAAATGACAAAGAGCTCTTACACCCAAGTCTGACTTTCACAGTTATTTGAGGATACAGAGGATATATCCAGGTTCATCAAGAAAGAATGCCGTGATTGCTTAGCAATGTCTGCTAGAGAAGCAGACTGGGAGCGGGGCCCATACGGTCTCCTGCCGGAGGTCCTTGCATCTCAACTTTAACCCGGGATCCAACACAGCATGACAGAGCTGTGCGTTTCGACTACATTGTTTGGGCCCCATATAATCACCGAAATGCTCTTTGGCATTCTGGCCCTACCTTGAATAAAAAGGAATGTCTCAAGAAACACGTATAAGAAAACCACCACTATATTACAAAATGCTGTTTTTGAGGATGTTGTCCACCTTACCTTCTCCCAAAGGAGAAATTTCTCAGGTCTAAGAGCCAGAAAATGCTTTACTCTTCCTGAACATCTGGTTTCCATTTATCTTATAAATAATGTGACTCTTATAGCTGTCTCCTTTTTAAAAAATTTTTTTTAATTTGGACATAAGAAATCTCAAGTTGCAGAGTTGGATGTGAAGCCCACCTACAGCCAGGCAGTTTTTTTTTTGTAATTTGGTGCCACGCCGCAATTTCATCTTTTTCTACTCACCCTAATTTTTTATTCAATTTTTTTTTAAGATTTTGTTTATTTGAAAGAGAGAGAGATAGCCCAAGCATGGGGGAGGGGCAGAGAGAAAGAGAGAGAGAGAGAGGCGGACTTCCCACCAAGCAGGGAGCCTGAGGCGGGGCTCGATCCCAGGATCCTGAGATCATGACCTGAGCCAAAGGCAGACATTTTTTTTTTTTATATAAGGATTTTTATGTATTCATTTGACAGAGAGAGACACAGCTAGAGAAAGAGTACAGGCAGGGGGAGTGGGAGAGGGAGAAGCAGGCTTCCCGTGGAACAGGGAGCCCGATGCGGGGCTCAGTCCCAGGACCCTGGGACCATGACCTGAGCCAAAGGCAGACGCTTAACGACTGGGCCACCCAGGCACCCTCTATTTTAAACTTTTCATGTTCAGCCTGTGTTCCTTTTTGGATGTGGCAGGTTGTAAATAAATGAAGAGACAAATGAGAGGTAAACAGGTAGCTAAACAGCCAGATAGAAAGCGCAGTATGAAAAGAGCTCATCAGAAAGACACACAGCCACTAGTAAGATAAATAGGCTGTTAGTTAGGACAGTTTGTTAACAGGTTAAAAGAGGGTAAGTTAAAAAACTAACCTAAGGTTTCACATTTTTATAGGGCTATCAAATCCACAAAATACTTCTTATTTCTTATTATCCTTCCTATTACCATTTGTTATTTACCCTTCCATTTTATTCTTTTGATTGGTCTTCCCCAATCTAGTGATTTCAAAAACAGATCTCACAGAAGGGGGGAAGGACACCAATGGAAAAGAGTCTCCTCTACCATCTCCAGAAAAAAAAAAAAAAAAAAAAAACCTTTGGGACAGTCCACGGAGAGAAAAAAATATTCTGAACCTTTGTGAAGGAAATACTCTTGTATTGGATTTTGTCTGGAATTATTTTAAGAAGCAAGCTGTATCCCCTTGTGGTCGTAAGGTTCTCTAAGAGTACAAAGGCCCCAACACGGCATTTAATACCCTGGCAACGGTACGCGCCTCCCTGTGGGCAACTGCCCACCATGAACTGAGCACCGAGCCACGTGGACGAGGTGGTAGTAGAAAGTTGCCCCGCGGCAGTGCTGACGGATTCATTCTGTGTTCAAGTTTCCAGTCATTTCATTTGATTACACTTGGGTGTATTTTTATGCGATGGTTGCAGCTAGTCTAAGCTGTAAAAGAAACATGTGCATTTCCATTACCAAAGTAAGTATCAAATCCTCGGCGGGTTGGAAGGCATTCTTTCCGGTACATTCCCAGGTGCCATTTTCCGACCATATGGGTAGTGTAGCCTGCTTCTTTTAGAAGCTGGGGCAGCAGTTTTTCATCCAGAGGGACACAGCTGGGCTGACAGGGCCAGATTATTTGGTGTTGTAAGCCTGTGTGGATCTTAAAGAGACAAACATGAAATTTTAGGTTGATGGTGTTGAAACATCCTGAACAAGCAGATAAAGTGGTTGCTTAATTTATTGGATACATCTGCAGATTTGACTGTTCAACTCTATTCCTGTACCAGCTTAAGGATATTTCTGAATGGCACTTTACTCAGTTATTCAAATAAGGTAATGGCCATAAACAGATTGGAAAAAATGAATAAAAGCACTCTAATAAACATTAGATATTTTAACAAATATTTATCAAGGAATTATGTTAGAAACCATTAACTTAGGATTTCACCTCCTACCTCAAAAAAGTAACCGTAACATGAAGTGTGGATCTATCAAGGAAAAAGTGTTCCAATTTTTGTACACATGAGAAATTAGTGTTTGGTTTGGAAGGGGCTTCTGTAATCTTTCAAGATTTGGTGATTTTTTTAAGGGTTATTCAAAAATACAATGAAAGTAATGACTTATTTTTTTTATTCCACTTTATGGAGACCATAATTTAAAAGTCAGTGACCAACTTTTTCTTAAGGAAAAAAAAAGCAGCCATCTGACCCACATGTTGGGAGTGGTTCACACAAGTATGCCCAGGGCGCAAGGACCACACAACAATTAGCCTTTAAGAAATGATCCCTTGTTGAGTTTTCGTGTGATATTAAAATAGAATATCTACAATTACATGAAAAGGCTGTTAAAATAACCCTTCCTTTTCCAACCACCTATCTGTGTGAGGCTAGATGTTCTACATCAACTTTTACCAAAACAATATATTACAACAGATTATAACAACCTAGCTATCTTCTATTAATAGAAAACACATACATGCTATGGTGAGCGCTGTGCATTGTGTAAGACTGATGAATCACAGACCCGTACCCCTGACACAAATAATACATTATATGTTCATAAAAAAAATTGAGGACACATACAAAAATACAAAACAGTATTACTCTTCTCATGTAATTCTCTTATTTTGGATAATATAGTTATTTTTCATAAGTTATTTATGTTAACATGCAATGGGATTATTACTGCTATTTTTCAACGAACAAAAGTATTTTTAGATTTCTATTTTAATTTCTGACATGGTGAATTTTGAAAGGTGTAACCCACAGAAACATAAGCTCTTTGGGGTACCTAAGACCAAAAAGTTTGAGAACTGATGTTATAATATCCAGTAGTGGGCCCTGCAATGAGGGAAATAAAGTAGGACAGGGAGATGGTGACAGAGGTGATTCTTTGATAGGGTGGCAAAAGAAATCTGAGGGGGAGCTATTTCAACAGTAATATGAATCAAGTGAGAGAGTAAGAGAGCCTTGCAAAAATACAAGGCAAGAATAATTGAGGCATAAGAAATAAAAAGTACAAAGGCCCTGGGCCCTGAACTTGCTGGATGAGTCTGAAGGCCAGGAGGGAGGCCAGTATGGTCCTGTCGCAGCTCCTGTGCTGGTGGGTGGCATGCCAGCCCTGCTGGGGTCCAACCAGAGCAGAGTCCCCGGGGGCTTCCATCCTAGGCTGCCCACCACTCCCTTCCCGCAAACCTCACACCTCTTCTCCTCGTCCTGGCTTAGCCAGGGAGGTACTTTCCTTTGCATGAAGTGGGACTAGGGTCTCATATTCAACTCTGCACTGGACACAAGCCCTCTCTAGAAAGGGCTAGGTACTCCCGATGTCCCTGGAATAAATGGGGCTCTGGGGACACAGAAGGTTGAGAGTACCAGTTCTCCACACAAACGCTAACTCCCTGGCCTCCGTCAGCTGTCAGGTGGGTTGTAAGCAGTTATTAAGAAATGGCAAAAGTGTGTTTGCAGATGTTTTGCTGGCTTCTACAATCAGAGGCAGAATGCATTAAGCTCGGGGAATTAGATCCCAACTCAGCTCTATCACCAAAGACATACTCAACATTCAACAGTGCCACAGTAATAATCGTAAGCTCTGTTATTAACACCATTGCTATGTTGTTATGCCTTCCCCCACTACGCTGCACTTTGCTTTCTTGAGAGACGGCATGGCATCACAGAGAACATGCCCCGAAGCCTGGAGCTGCCCCAGGAGTATGCTGTGGTGCCTAAGAACACCAGATAACATGTACACTCAACCACTCGTCCATGGATCCCCTGGCATGATGGAATACTGATTAATCTCTGGGTTTCTCATTTCAAATACTAACTTACACAGACCAGATTCACAGATTTTAACTGTGTTTTAAATACATGGCAATAGGGCGCCTGGGTGGCTCAGTTGCTTAAGCAGCTGCCTTCGGCTCAGGTCATGATCCCAGGGTCCTGGGATGGAGTCCCACATCGGGCTCCCTGCTCAGCAGGAAGCCTGCTTCTCCCTCTCCCACTCCCGCTGCTTGTGCTCCTGCTCTCGCTATCTCTGTCAAATAAATAAATAAAATCTTATAAAAAAAATACATGGCAATAAACAGATACAAAGGAGAAGCCCCCCAAAAAATTCACACTTACAATCTTTTTTTTCTAATTTATTATAAGCTACTATTGAATAGCTTTCTCATAAACTTTGACATTGCCTTGAATTTCATTTTTTGTGGATCTTTCCAGAACCACCACTTTGGAGTTGCACTTGACATTGCTTCATTTCCTTCTATCTTTCCATATCCTTTTAAAAGAACCATATAAAATAACTTAAATGTGAAATTAAAATGGGATTATTTTGAAGGTGATGGATAACTCACTATCTTGATTGTGGTGGTTTCACAGGTATATACATATCAAAACTTATCAAACTGTATACTTTAAATACGTGCAGTTTATTACATGTCAACCATACACCAATATACTTTTTAAAAATAAAAATGAGTTTAAGATTTCTACTAAGGGGGCGCCTGGGTGGCTCAGCTGGTTAAGCGACTGCCTTCGGCTCAGGTCATGATCCTGGAGTCCCAGGATCGAGTCCCACATCGGGCTCCCTGCTCGGCGGGGAGTCTGCTTCTCCCTCTGACCCTCCCCCCCCTCATGTGCTCTCTCTCCTCTCTCTCATTCTCGCTCTCTCAAATGAATAAATAAATAAAATCTTTTTAAAAAAAAAGATTTCTACTAAGATTTCTATGCCTTTGGGGTACCTGGGTGGCTCAGCAAGTGAAGTGTCTGCCTGAGGCTCAGCTCATGATCTCAGGGTCCTGGGATCAAGCCCCATTTCTCGTTGGGGGTCCCTGCTCAGTGGGGAGTCTGTTTCTCCCTCTCCCTCTGCTCACCACCCCCCACCCCACTCATGTTCTCTCTCTCTCAAATAAATAAAAATATTTAAAAAAAAAAGATTTCTATGCCTTTCCTAGAAATCACTGGACACCTCCACTGAGGTAAGTGCCGGATGCCTTCCACTTGCCTTCCAAATCCACATTCTGCCTTCCGTCCTGCTCTCTGCCCTGGGAAGCTGACCTTTGGGAACCAAATCACAGGACTCTGCACCTTCTGGCTTCTGACTGGGTTCACCCAAGACGGACCCCTGACAGGAGGTTAGAGGGAGGGAAGAGATGAGTGGCTCTGGACTGCCAGACCATGTCTCTCTGTGCAGGCCATCCCGAAGGCAGCCGTCTCTATATGACACTCTTTGTCTCTAGGTTCTTTCCTTCCCTCCCTTCTGGTCCAGGGCTAGCAGAGCTCCACTAGGTTACATACCATTACTTGTGTTCCCTTCCCCCAACTCACACTTTTGTGAATGGTCCCTAATTATAAATAAACCCTAAATTACCTTAATTTGAATGTGCCATCTCTTTCCAGCTGGGATCCTGAATAATAAGGATGCTACAATATCCAGGAAACATTGGGGCAGGAAACACACACACACCCACCCCCAAATCATAGAAGGATTCTGTTCATGGTTAACAACGTGAAATTTACTCAAAAGAAAATTAATCCTAGGTTCAAAAACTTTGTAATAGATACTAATTGGCAACAGTGCAGGAGAAGCAAAGGTAATATTTTAGGGAACCCAAAAGACCCAGATAAATGCTATGTGCAGATTTCTTTAAATGTAAAGCTCATCCATCACACGCACAGAATTAACTCTGATAGCTATAAAGCATTGCCAAGGGATGCTGTGTGATTCGGTTTTCCTAGTCCATGGGCATCAAGCCAGGTGGTCAGCTGAAGCCTGTTTCTATTATCTACAATCATATGGAGCACAGAATTTGTTCTTTTCAATTCCCAAGAATTTATTTGACAGAGCATTTTTACGGCATTACTGGGGAAGCGGAAGCCAAACTCTGGATGGCAGCCAAAAACATGTTTTTAGTCTGTTCAAACACTATTTGAAGTAAGGAAGCCGTAATGTGTAGAGAAGCAGTAAACAGGCAAATGCTGAGCTGGTTCCAACTGAGCACTTTAGTTTAGCACAGAACTATAGATCCACACCATGCCTCATGGGGCAGGATGATAACAGGGCACCCATAGGAACCAACAAAAAAAGAATTGTCCTTTTGCAAACATAGCAGCATCTACGACAATTCCATTCTAACACTCCTCTTCAATGTTCAGAGAGCATGTATGAAAGGAGAGGATTATATAGATAATATAGGACAGTTCAAAGGAGTTACTCTATACCAACCATGTGTGGCTATCTCTTCTTCATTAAAACAAAGCCTCTTGCCAAAAACAGCTTCTCCTAAGATTTTACTTAACCATCAAGGCCTTCCTGCACAAAGGCAAAGGGTCTCCGTGAAGGACCTGGCTCATGTCTAGGTTCTTTCCATGAGATAAATGATGAGAATCCTTGTGTGTGTGTTTTGTTGCATATAAAATTTATCTGATCCTGTGAGTTATTCCAGCCTGTGTAGACATGGAAGAGACTATCAGTGTAGTCTCATGAACTTAAAAAACAGAAAGGCCTATCTCTTGGAAGGAGAAGGAAGGAGGGTGGCTCCCACCCTCAGAATTTCTTCCTATCCCCCTTTAAGAGGTCCAGGTAGTCTACTGATTGATTATCTACAGGATTTGGAAGCTTAGAGCGCAATAGTTCAGCCACACTGATAACAAACTCTCCCAG